TTGACCTATTTGTGTATTGTGCACTTTTGGACACTCAAGTGTGTCTAGTATCATGATAGTGTTTCTTCTCTGAACAAAGCTGCATTTAAGAAATCTGGAATAACTGTAGTGAAATTTTATTATATCAAAATGTATTTGCTTAGCTCTGCATCTGAAAGCAGTAATATAGTGTCAAGTCAAGTTGTTCTACCAGCACTGAATGGGTAATGATAGCGTTCAACTTAAAGCTGCACTGATCAGTATTTTACACCAACAAATGGATCACATGACACAAGGATTATCACTGGACTGTGCTGTTCCCCTCAGCTTTTTGGAGTCTTGTAGCATCTTTCAGTTCATTGTTTTGGTTTTATTGTCTGCAACTTTAATGTTTTTGATTCACTCTTACTGTTCTTGTTGCGACAAAGATATCAAAAATTGATATGACCACTTCAAGTTACTTTTACACCACCAAACGACAGGGGGTGGTGAACATAGTGGTACATTTAGCAGCTATATTAAAAAAATCTTTCCCAACTACAAGGAGAGTGAAAGTGCCTGCTAACATGTTAGCCATATCAACTGTACAAGGTGATAATATAGTTTTTTCTCCTTTGCCCCAAGTAACCAAAAATTAATGCTGTTAAAAATAGGGGGTTAAAAATAGTTAAATGGGGAGTTTAAATGTTTCATAATTATCTAAATGTTGTTTCAGATTCTTTCATATCCTGATAAGCACCACTTGGATACTGCTGGACTTCTTGAGTTAAAAAAAGAAAAACCTGCTAGCCCCAAGAAATATCTCTCATCAAACACCATGGACAACTGGCCATGCCCTCATATTATTTATCTGTTTTTACGACAACCCAGTAGTGACAACAGAAACCTTTCCCTGTCCAGCTTCCCCTACTGTATTTGTTTTTGTCCTACATTATTTGCTGTACCCACGCCAGGAGATTTTGTCGTGCCTTTCATCATTCATTGACTCCATGCAGAGGAACTCTTTAAAACTTGAAAGGAACATAATGAAAGCATTTTAATGAAACCCAGCATGAACCAAGTATTGAGTGACTGCATGGATGAAAGACAGAAATTCCAAGAACATTCCATGAACATGTGCTGTTCTTATGTGCTGTTCCTAACATTTGCATCTGGTTGTTCTTTGCTTAGAAGACTCACAAGTCCACACGACGTGATGTATGTTTCTTATTTGCTTGGAATAAACAAGGTTGGCCACCACAGAACACTAAAAGGGCTCCACCTACACAAACAGAGTTTCATCTACTCTACAGAACTCTGAGGAGAAACATGGGATAATGACACCCACACTGCTTGACTGACAGGGGGAGAAGTGCAGAGAAAGACAGTCATCCCCTGGCGTTTTACGTAGCCTTCGGATGCCCCCATTGCTTCCAGTGCAAACGCAATAGTAGCTGCAGCAGCAGTATTAAGTGGGAGAGCAGCTGCCACACTTGTGAAAGTGGGCAGCTCTTTGCTGCTGCATTAGGAGTTCACAATTCAACTTTTTCAGCTTGTCATGTGACCTGGGATCCACAGAGGCTTAAAGCTTATTTTACTGGTATCTGAATGATTCACCTCTTCACCAGTAGAGAATAATCAAGTCAACCTAAAAATCAGTGAACAACATCAGCTTCCACCTGGTTATTTGTCTGGGACAACAAACAATAACAACACCTTCAACACTAGCAAAGCTTGCTATATTAGTAGTGTCCAGATCGAACACCATTTCCTGTCATTTAAGCTATAACTGGCTCCATTTAGCTATTTGGTGGCTGTTGAGTACAGACTGGTACAGAGTAGAATCAGTTGCAGCAGCCGAAGTGGTCATGGCATCACCACTTCCCTCCACTATGCAAAAATGAATCCAAAATATCATGAATACGGCAGCTGTCCTTTGCTTTTTCACAGCCAGATTCTGCACAGCAGTGACCAGGAGTGGAGTGACAGTATCAAACCACTTATCAAAGCTGTGAAACTGCCCAAGATACACCCCTTTTGAAAATAATTATTAAAACAATCTTACCAGAAAAATGACCACTTGTACACTTATCAGCATGTTAATATGTACCAAAAACCACAGAAGTAGCCTGTGGGGAAAGTTATTTGATTTGTACTTTGAGTTTTTATTTTGGATTTTGGCAGCGTGTTGCCTAGTGGTGCCATAATGTAGGAGGCAGGATTTATAACCCACCACCAGGGGCTGATAAACTTGTGATGGCTTCACTTCAGGGAGCTGTCAGCCTGTCCATTATTTATACTGTCAATGTTCTTAATGCACCTTTAAGGTATAGTCACACTACAAAACAAAAAAACAGGGTTTAGAGGTAAATAGGTTTTCATCCACCTTTCAGTTGAGTGCAGTGGTTAACAGCGATTAGCTGCATTCAGTTTGACGTAGCTCAGGTCAGAGTTCATCAACTTTGAACACACACTTGTTGCATTTGTATCTGCTCTATGTAACCGACTAATCATTTCTCTGGAGGTCTCTGTCAAAGAAATCCTCCTTATCAGTATGTATAAAGGGACTGATCGCATTGTGGTATTTGGAACACGTGCATGAACTACAGTGATTGAATGCTAGAAAAAAACACACACTGCTTGTAAAAAAATGCAGTTTGTGTGTGTGTGTGTGTGTGTGTGTTTGTGTGTGTGTCCACTGGTCTGAACAGTTTCACCCTGAAGCTGGGAAAAGAGATTTTAAGGAAATGTGTGCTAGTCAGTAACCTTGCAGCTTCCAGTGTCTCCCTCATTATCGCCATCAAGTGTTTACAGTGTCTTCATTAGCGACTAGCCCTGATGATAACAAAGCTTAAAAGAAGACATCAATGACAGTGATAAGCTTGGCCAAGCTACTATTTTGGTTGACACGAGTCCCCCTGTTTACTCTGGGAGCATGAGAGCGGACATCAGAACTGTGGTCTTTGCATGGGGGATCTCCATTTTCAGACCTTGGCATCGCAAAGTCTGTTTTCAAGCCGGGAAGAAGGTAAAGTCTGTGCCAGTTCGGTGGCTTAGAAAGGATCTAATTTCAAAATGCAGCTCTCCAGAGCATTTCTGTTTCAGCTGTGTTTGAGTCTGGCCCTTTCTACTGGCTCCTGCACCTGTAAACCTCTCAATAATGACATCCAAAGTGAGGACTCTGAGGGTTTCTACTCTAAGCTGTCAGAGGAGGACCTTCTGGAAGAGGAAGACACAGACTTGAGGATGGAGAATCTCCTGGGAACCATGAAGGAGGGGTTTTTGAGGAAACTCAACCTGTCAGATGTCCCTCAGGAGCACAGCAAGATCAACCCTCCTCAGTTCATGATGGAGCTGTACAACAAGTACGCCTCGGACAGCTCAGCAGTCCCTCAGTCTGATGTCATAAGAAGCTTCACTGTACAAGGTACATGATCGGGGTTTGACTTGACATGCAAGACTAAGATCAAGACTTTTCCCTCTTTAATAGTGTCTGTCCTCAGACCTGAGACACATTTTGATATCTGTACCTGCTAAATGTAGTTATTTCATTTATATACAGCATTGTAGCTGGTCAATGGTGTCCACATTTCATGTAATAGAGGTTTTTTCCTCTTAACAGCTAAAGAAAAATGGGCTTAATATGCAGATTTTTAAGTAGATGACTTATTCAGTTATGGTATTTTTTTTTTTTTGCTAATTTTGTACAATATGAAACTCTAAAGCAATGGTTCCCAACTTTTTTCTTTTTCTTGCTTCTCATCCCCTTAAAACCAAAAGTAAAAACTTTTTTCTTTTTACACATTTGAAAACTTTCATTTTAATTTAAAATTTAAAAATTAAAAAGAACTAAACATAATTTTGTATAACAGAAATGTTTTTTTTTTTCAAATTCCTCTCCTGCTCGCTCTCTGTTTTATCTCTTCCTCTTGCCCCAACCCCTACGTTGGGAACTCATACTCTTAAGTATACCAGTGCATTCCTTTCAGTGAATAATTTTCCTAAAAATTACCAAAGAGAAACATATTGACTAGTGACTGCCTGCACTTTACTTACATTTAAATTCTACACAACTTTGTGTGACACAATTGACTGAAAATACTGCAGTGCATAATTACATGACTTTCAGTTTGGTTACATTGTGTAAGTGGTGTGTAAGCTTCAGGCCTCGAGCTTCCTATGGCAGTGACTGACATGATGCAGCACCACTAGGCAACACGCTGCCAATTTACATGGAGTGCTACCATTTGGAGAATGTCATAACCCTGTATAAAATATAAAACTGTGTCTCCTGTTTTAACAAGCCCACATAACATTGGTTATGTACCTGTAGATTTTAAGAAACATGTTCTTTTCAACATTCAACATTTGGGAAGACCCATTCTGCTATTAAGTTTGTATTTCAGTCAGGAAGTTGAAACTAGCAAAGGAGACAAGCTGTTGGCTCCTTACCCACATCAATAAGATTAAATAATCCTATACAGCTCTTCTATGCTTCCTACATGACACTGGACCAAATGTATAAAGTTCTGATAATAAGAAGAAAAACTGTGAACACCATTCTTCCAAAAGATATTCCCTCATGTGGTGTTTTGATGATAGCGGTGGAGATGCTGTCTATAACACATCGGTCCAACATCTCTCATCGGTGTTCAAACTGGGTTGAGATCTGGTGACTGTGAATCATTTTCATACTCATCAAACCATTCAGTGGCTCCTTGTGCTGTGTAGATGGAGGCTGTTTCAGATAAATAACCTGACCTCTGTATCTCTCCAACAGATATCACTGTCTTTGTGACAAATGACACAAAGTTAAAGCACAGGCTACAGTTCAATGTCAGCATCCCAAACCATGAGAAGATCACCACTGTTGAACTGCAGCTCTTTTTCCTGCCAGATGCCAGGTCAACAGTCGCATCCCATCGTTTCAAGGCTACCGTCAAAGTTTATGAAGTGGGTTACAATGGTTTGACTTCCACGACCCAACTGCTGGTTGGCAAAGACGTGACCGGCTTGCAGAGTGTGTGGGAGACATTTGATGTGACCACAGCTATTCAGAACTGGATCAAGTCAGGCCATGGAACAACTGCTTTTGATGTAGTGCTGGATAAGAAGGATTGCAGGGCTTCTGATAGTCAAAATGAAGTAGATGGCTGTTTGAATATGAGTATGTCTGTTGGAGAAAACACCTCAGCAGCTTTAATAGTTTTCTCAAATTATCTTGGTAACAGAGGAAGGGAAACAAAGAAGGAATTGAGAGAGATGATCTTCCATGAAGAAGAAACCATTTTACGCTCAGGTTCCCACTGGAACAGAGGAAAGCATCTTTCACATGAGATCCTGAAAGCTCAGCATCCACAAAGGAAGAAAAGAAAGGCAGAGAGGGAATACTGCCGGCGAACCTCGCTCAAGGTCATCTTTAAAGATATTGGCTGGGACAGCTGGATCGTGGCGCCTCCAGAATATGATGCCTTTGAATGTCGAGGCCTTTGTTACTACCCACTGACAGACGAATCGACCCCATCCAAACATGCCCTCATCCAGGCACTGGTCAACATCAAGGACCCCAAGAAGGCCAACATGGCCTGCTGTGTCCCCATTAAACTGGACCCCATCACAGTTATGTATCAGGAGAATGGGCGTCTCACTATAAGACACCTCTATGAAGAGATGAAGGTGGCAGCATGTGGCTGTAGGTAGTCGGACAGAGTCTGTTTGCTTAACTGCTTTCCATTCAAGTCAGTCTGATGTTCTCTGGTGATTTGCTGTAATAACAACTACCCTTGCTACATATTCTTCTTCATGCAACAGCATATTTTAAATCAGTGATACACACACTATATTGCCAAAAGTATTCGCTCATCTGCCTTCACATGCAAATGAACTTGAGTAACAACCGATTCTTAATCCATAGGGTTTAATATGATGTTGGCCCACCCTTTGCAGCTATAACAACTTCAGCTCTTCTGGGAAGGCTGTCCACAAGGTTTAGGAGTGTGTTAATGGTTTTTGACCATTCTTCCACAAGTGCATTTGTGAGGTCAGAGACTGATGTTACTTTTGGCAATATAGTTATATTTAAAAAATAAAAATTAAAAAGTAGATCATGCCATGCAGAAATTTACATTTTTATGTACTGTATATGTATTTGAGAATTGGAGCATTTTTACAACATTTTATTATATAGCATTTACCATTTATGGTGTACCTTTAATGTATTGCCAACAATAAGTCTGAAAGTCAAACAGGAGAAACAGTAGAACCACCAACAGGTCAACTGTACCTCGTGAGTGGGTGTTTTTTGTTTTGTTTTGTTTTGTTTTGTTTCACATGCCAGCAGCACTAGCTAGAAAACCATAGGACACAGACATCTTTTCATTGTGTATTTAATACTAGCTATATGTACATACAAAACCAACCATTTATTTTCAATGTATTTTTTGCCAATTAAAGCAGTATCATCTGTATTTTCATGTTTGTAGTAAATATACAAAACTGTCATTTTATAGGGAGATCTGTTGGTTGTGTAATTTTGTAAACATAGCAAATTCAATAATATAACGGGGCAAAACTTTGTACATTCAAATATACGGACAAATGTAAATTTATACATTGCTGTTGTAATTTCAGTTCTGTGCTACCACCCAGGCTGATATTCTTTGTATAAAAAACAATCCATCGTCAAGAGGAAAGTTTTTACTGTACTGTATTGTCATGATGTGTACGGGCTTTCCAAACTGAAAATAAATACAATTGTTGGGAAAATTGTTTCTCAAAGTAAAATATAAAGTTACTCATCTCATTGGCTTTGTTCATCCTACAGTCCATTCACTTCATCTGGTCATTTTTTTGGCATGACACCTGTCTTTTTCTATCAAATTCCTACTTTTTTAACTTAACATGGTGACTATAGTTTACCGAAAGGAATAAAACTTTAACCAAAGACACTGTCATGCAACAACTTTTTCTGACTACATTTGACACCAAAAAACATGTATTTGTATCTTCAGAGTAAGAAATACTACAACTGCCTTTCACAAACATATTGACCTCTATGAAAATGTATAAATAAATAAATACAATAGACTACATAGTTGTACTAGTTGTCTACTTTTAATAAGAAAATAAACAAACAAATAGCTTTCAATGAAAAGTTATTTTTCTGGTCTGACATCTTTTCATACAATTTGGGTATCATTCGCATATTAAGCACAAGATTTCAACCTAGAAACTTGCATATTCACAACAGCAAATATCTGAAGAGCTGAGCAGACCATGGCTGAGCGTAGCAGATTGTAGTAGAGCACAGTGGAGAAGGGAGAGCCTTGCTACAATATTTTCTCATTTGTGTTAGCATCAAACAGTCAAATCAAGTGTAAAAAGGGAACCAACAAAACATAAATATAAATATAAAACACCTTTAAATCTTATGCTCAAATACAAGTAAAACTAACTTGTGATCTTATTGCACTGTGATGGCTTTCTAAACATTTGAAGTCACTGACATGTCCTTATCAGGGCTGAAGCCTCTGTGACAGGACTAATGAGGCGATAAGTTGCAACAGACCCCAGCTCATCCTTTCAGGGTGAGCTAAAAATAGCTTTTGCCTCAAAATAGCACCAACAACAAGGAAACCAAACCCATTTTAACATCTTTGAGGTGCCAAGAAAATAACTGGCTCAGTTAGTCATGAACAACAACCAGTTTAAATGTCTGGATTGTCTGTTGTTGCTGTTCTAGTTTTACAGACAGAGTCATAATTACTCTAAAACCTTAAACCTGCAGTAACAGGTGGGGGCAGCACAGCAAGTTTATAAAGTATAACATTGCTATGGATAACGTGTTAGCAGACAGAGGCTTATTTACACCAGCAATATTAGCATTCATGTGGAGTCATGCTTTTGGACACCTGATGTCAGTTTGTCAGTTGCAAAGCTAAATATCTGTCGTTAGCTGTTAAACTGTCCACTACTTTTACAACTATTGCTAAATGTGTCTATCATTATACTTTTTTTTTACCATTATGTCTTAGAAAAGTGTCTGTTATTTAAAATCTTATCTAATCTTAAGACTATTTATTTATTAATTCATTAACATAGTCTTCATGATGTTGGCATCTACTTTAAGAAGGCTAAGTACTTAGTGGGATAGGTCCTGTCAGGTTTGCTCGGCCGCTCTGGCCTCCCTCACCTTTCCTACTGTCTCTTGCCCATTAACACTAATCACGTTCACCTGTTCCTCACTCCCTTATCACCAGCTGCACTTGATTAGGTTGCTCACTATATTACC